AAAAGTAACACCAGCAAATTTCCAGTTCTTTAATCCTATAGTTCCTCAATTCCTTTTTATCTTGGTGGCCTGCTTAATTCATTAAAAAGCTGTAGATCTGTGTGTTTGTTTCTCAGTAAATATTATGCATAAGCATTTTCAGTTCATTTTTAATTGTGTATAAAATATCAGGTCAGAAATGAATTGTATATGTGTGTGTTATTGTATATATGGTAGCTCCCACAAATCAGCTAAGGTGTTTTAAAAGTTAATGATATGCTAAAATCATTTGATCATTTTAAATAGTCCAGTTAATTATCATCATAGAATCATAAGATTTTCTACTCTAATGCTACATCAATATTTTCCAGGGAAAATTAAGGGGACACTCAAAACTATGAAACCTTTAGCTAGAGCATAAATAAAACTCTTACCAGAATAATAATGCCATAATATTCCTTGTAAAGGAAGACTGTCTTCATAAATACAGAGTTTACATTAAACATAGACTATGAAGATGGTTTTGGAGTGAAGTGGGAGCAGCACTGGGACAGCCATGTGAGAAGTACAGGGTAGAGAAACGGCACTTCCACAGCTGAATACTATAATAAACGGACTCAAGAGATGAGTGCATGTACGGCGGGCTGCCCGTGACTATTTAGGGTGAGGCTGCTGCTTTCAGCTATGTGAGAGAAAGAGGATTTGCAGTGCTGTTTCTTTTTCATTTTTTAAATCTTATTTTTATTAGTCCATGTTTGCAGTACATCATGTTTACATTACATCATGTTTACATTTCCTGTGAGGAGTTGGTATATATACATAACATACCTTAATTTCTTTTTTCATCTCTTTTACACAACCTGCAGTGCTAATCTTAAAATTCTTAGCTCCATCACATGTGTAAAGACCCTCTTAGCATGAAAACTAACAAAGGAGATGGGGAGTCAGAGCCTCCAGGGATGCTTTCCCACCAATTCAACAATTTGAACAAATATTCGTGCATCAAACTGTCCTCAGAAAGGATAGAGAATCTAACTGAGAGAACACAGTACCTGCGTTTGGTATAACAGGGTAGACAGACTGAAGATGGCAGGAAGGAAAACGCTGCCAGCCTCACACCTCCCTTAGCTCCAGCATCGCAGTGTGGAAAGGAATGCCCAATGCTTGGAAGCAGGAAAGGACATTCAGTTCAGACCTTTGACAAAAAATCCGCAACAAGCCTGCTACACTGAAACCCGGTGCAAGGCAAGCAGGCCTCAACACCACTATCCTCAGTCCCATACTTGCACACTAAGCAGTTGGAATGCCATTAGTGGTGTGGTTGACCCTCCTCCAATTTTAGGCTTAAAACATGAAGCAACAATCTAGTCACTGGGGAATAAATCACAAAACTTACCATAGGGCTTTGCCCTAGATCTCTGTACTGGGTCCACCATAGTGAGATCCAGAACCAGGCAGTAAACAACAGCACCCTATCTCACAGACCTCACAGAGAAAGACTCTAGATCCTCCCCAGAACCAAGCAGAAACCTTTCTTTCCATACGACTGACATGCATGTCTGCCTGCATCACAACCAGCTGCAGTGTGGGCCACAGCGCAGCTCTGAGACTATGCAGGTCCTCATGGCTGTGAGAGTCAAATATGATCCAGCTTAAATCAATCTTGTTGGCCAAAAGATGGCTCTCCCCAGTGCTACTCCAGCCTCAGGTATAATATCCCACTTGCCGGGATTAGGACAGGATTGTAGAGAGTGGGGTTGGTCTTGGAATTTAGCACAAGGATGGTAAAACTTAACCAGGGGGGGGGGGGGATGTCTTAGTAGCCCTCACCATCAGAACTGCTTTTGGACCAGCTTTGGTGCCAGGCAGAGACAAAGGCTCCAGTCTATCAACTTCTATTCTAGTCACCATCACCTGTGGCTGGTTGCAGCAGTATTGGGCCATGAGTTTACCTCAGCAGTAGACATCTCACGGAGGTGTGAGTCTTGGTACCACTCCAATGTCTTTCTAGTGTTACTGGGCTATGGGCTTAGGGAATGGCCTCACCCAAGGCTTTAAAGCTAAGGTGTGGTCCTTTGTGATTCTGTCCATGTGAGCAGACCCGTGGATTGTATAAAGTAGGCTGTTAACTCTGTAGAAGGTGTTTGGACCTGTCCCTCACCCAGGGAGAGGATTTCAGGGACACATCACTGTCTTACTCACTTTCTTTTTGCTGGGAACAAAATACCCAATTGTCTTGGTTACTTTTTTCTCGCTGCTGGGACAAAACACCTGACGACCAAAATTAAGGAAGGAAAGGTTTATTTCGCTTACAGTTTGTGGAGGTTTCAATCCGTACTAGGCATGATCATAAGGCAGAGTGGCACTTGGCAGAGGGCTGCATCCCAGGGAGGCAGTACAGCTAAGCAAAAAGCAAAGGCCAGAGTGGAATGGCGGAGGAGGAATGCCCTCAAGCACTTCTTCCTCTCCCTTATATATGCAAACTATCCACTCCAGGGCGGGTGCAGCTCTCACACCCATATTCAAACTCTAAAAGCCTGACCCATGCCCGCAGGAGGCTTTGGGGGGACACACAGACATAAACCATAACACCAATATTCACAGTGAGAAGCGGATGGGTTCATTTTGACTCATGTTTCAGTAGTTTCAATCTTTGTTTGTTTACTGGCTTCAAGGCAGGAAGGATTGGCACAGGGCATAGTTGAAGAATAGCTATTTAGCATATGGTAAATAGGATCAGAGAGTCTAGGGAGGAACAACCTGCCTCTTCCAACCAGGCCCAACCTCCTTTTAGTAAATGCACTATTGTGCCCCCAAAGTCCAATCACCTTTTAAAGGTCCAATCTACGATCTCACGAAGCTTTGGTGGGACAAGTAGATGTGAACCATAGTATCACCATTTTTAACCTCCAGTTCATGTTGAAAAACAAACAATTTGCATGTTTAAGACACATATGGGCTTGGAATGCTCTCTGGGGAAAGCAGTGCCAAAACAAATATACTACAAACTTGGGACCTAGGACAATATCTGATAAAGATATAACAGAAGTGACTATGGAGTCAGAAAAAATAAGCAAACCTGCTTAGAATTTCTAGAAGGATAGGCAAAAGAAGGAAAGATGACAAAGACTGGAATAAATACCTAATCATTCAGTGCCCAGTTAATGTCATATGCCAACAAATATCAAGGGCTTTCATAAAACCATAGACTCAAATAACAGTCCAAATAGGGTGCGAAAATCTTGCCTCAGAGCAATCACCACAGAAGAACTCTCAAGTGAAGACTTTACAGAAACTGCTTTTTAAAAATCACTAGGCTTCATAAAAATCACAGAGAAGCATTTCTGTTATGGTTCAAATCTCAATGCCAACATTGTGAGGAGTGATTAAAGATATAATGGCCAATTTATTATCTGCCATTCATTTTCTGTGTAGGGAAGTTTTATGGTTTGTATCTGAATGTCCCCCCTAAAGCCTCATTCACTCATTGGTGGCCCTTTGGGGACCTGATTATTTATGGCTAAATGTGATATGGAAAGGTAAGCATGGTTAGAGGAGGTGGGTCGCTGGGGGTGTGGCCTGCAAGTGTACATATCCATCCTCCTGTGATTGGTTTCTGCTTCCCGTTTGCAATGCCATGAGATGCTTTTTCCCGTCATACCTCTTTGCCACAAGTACTTGCCTTAGAGCCAGATGACTACAGGCTGCAATTTCTACAAACTGTGAGCAAAAGAACAAACCTTTTCTCAAGATTGCTTCTCAGGTCTTATTTCTTAGCAATAAGAAATTTTAATATTCTAACAATGAAACTTTACCTAGAGATGGAAACAATTTGAAAAGAATTAAACATAAATCCTTGAATAAGGAAAGACTGAACCAAATTAAAAACATGGTAGAAAACACCAATAACAGGATAGAAGAAACAGAAGATAGAAATTGTGAGCTCAAAAGCAGGATTTTTAAAATATCCTATGAGCAGAAAGAAATGAAACAGAACAGAAAGACATTTAGAACAGCATTAAAAGATCGAATATTCAAATCATTTGGATTCAAGAGGTAATTGTGAGTACATAAGGGATGAAAGGATTATTCAAAGAGATAATAACAGAAAATTTCCCAAAGATGGATAAGGTTACGAATATCTAACTAAAGAAAGTTCAAATGTCCCTGGTGAGATTTAACTCATCCAAGTGTAGCCCAGGACACATTACAATCAAGCTATCAGGTACTAATGATGAAGAGAAGATTCACAAGCAACAAGAGCATGGAAGTAAAGAATCATCAGGGGATCCCAATTTTCTGCTCAACAGTCTTCTTAGCCAAGACCTTAGGGCTGAGGGAAGCATGTCAAGAGATTTTGGCAATTATCAATCAATCAATCAATCAATCAATAAACCAATAAAGAGTACTGTGTCCACTAGAGCTATCTTTTAGAAATAAAGAGATAAAGACATTCCTAGATAATCAAAACCTGAGAAAAAATATCTATATCAGAGATGGCCTACAAAAACACATAAGGGAAGAGATATTGATGACTAAGAAGAAAACATTAAAATGTGTGAAGCTCACTGGTAGGTGTAGCTGTACAGACAAGTTCATAATGATCTAATACATATGGTAAAACCATCCATATCTTTAGTGCTAAAACTTAGAAAAAAACAATTAAAATCACAGTGATCACAGTTATGATGTTAAGTGATAGACATTATAGAAAGATATGAAACAAAATTTCAGGAGAAATACAATGGAAATACAATTTCTTATTAGTGTATTTTGTCTCTTTTTGATGACTTCTTTCATCTTTATGGTCATGCTGATATCTTTTCAAATGGACTCAAAGCTGCATTTTATAAGCTTCATAGTAATGAAAAATAAAAATTTATAACAGATAACCCGAAAAAAAATAAATCAAAATACACCAATAAAGTAAACCAGTTAACCACAAAGGAAGACAAGAAGAAAAGGAAGAATGTCAATAAAACTAGAAAACAAATAATATAATAATCATGGTAAGACCTTACCTCTTTATGACTTCCTTAAACATTTTGAATTTGAAGGAAGTGAGAACCTAGATAAAAACACAATATATTACTATGTGTTGTTTATAAAAACATACTTTTCCTCTGAGGATATAAACAGACTGATATTGAAGACATTGAATAGTGTTCCATGAAAACAGAAGTCAAAATGACCTCATCACATTTTACATCTAAAGGAAATAAAATCAATCTGGCAAAGAAACATGTGAGCTCCCATGTTTGTTGTAGCACTATTCACAACAGCCAGGAAATGGAAGCAACCTACATGTTCAACAAGTAGTGAGAAAAGGAAATGTAGTATCTACACACCACATCATATGTTATTTGGCCATGAGCATAATTAAATGCTGTCATTTGTGACAACTTCAACAAAAGGGAGATTACTATGTGAAGTAAAAAATGGTAAGCATAGAAAGACAAGAACCACATGATCTCACTCATATGTGAAATGTTAAAAAATTGATCCCATGGAAGTTGAGAGTAAATGGAGGTTTTCAGATTCTGGAAAGATAAGAAGGAGAAGAGAGAGACTTTGGAACAAATATCTAGACAGAAAGCAAAACAAAAGACAAAAATCTTGATCTAAGTCTCTTATCTTTTCCCAAACTTAACTCAGTGTGGACAATGAGTTCAAATATTTAGTGTAAAAATGCAATACTTTTAGGGCAGAAAATGGCTAAAATGTTCAGTATCAATACACAAGGTAAAAAGATGTTAGGCTCCACACTCAAAAAATATCATCATCTGAAATTGGAAAAATTGATAAATGGATTTTATCAAAATGAAAATTTTCCACTGTAAAAATAAATGTGCAAAGGATGAATACACAATATAGACAGCAAACAAATATTTGTAAATTCTCTGTCCATAAAGAGCCCTGTTCCCTACAAAAGCATACTATAAAGTACTCCCAAACCCAATAGTAAAAAAAAACCCAAGCTGTTGGATGGGAATATGAGCAAAAGACATGAAGAGGCATCTCGCCAAAGAAGATATAAAGATGTCAGTGCAAACACAAAATTGTTTTATATCATTAATATTCAAACAATAAATTTAAATTGAAGAGTATAATAAGGACCCATTTCAAAATTAGATAATATTTTAAAACACAATTTTTAAAATTATGTTTTTCTGTTGATGGGCATTTGGGTTGCTTCAATGATTTAGCTATTACAAATTACACTGTTATAAACATGGGTGCACATATATCACTGTGATATGATGTTTTTAATTCTCCTTCCAGAAGGGGAATAGCTGGGATAAGTGGGACCGCTCTTTCCCTAGTTTTCTGAGGAATCTCCAAACTGATTTCCACAGTGGTTTCACCAGTCTACACTCCTACCAGCAGTGCAGAGGGTTCTTTTTTCTCCACAGCCTTGATTTGAAAATATCAGTATGTAATACAACCATTGTTTATTTCCTATCACCTTGTCTGAAATTCTGGATTGCTTGCATTGTTTTTGAGTTATTTTGTAAATGTATATGTGTTTGTTACTATGTTTTTGTTCTTTTACCTTTAAAAAATAAAAATAAGATAAAATTTTGTTTTTCAATTCATATTATTCTGAAAGAATAAAAATGTGTTAGCAATTTATAAGTAATCAAATTTATTGAAGGAAGTATTTTAAATGAAAAACAAGTGAGTTCGGTGCCTTCTGCATAAAAGGTAGATTCCAGTAAATGCTGTGCTTGATTTTGAATCAAGTGACTCAAGTGTTTATAGACTTAATGACTTTCTAATTAGTTCAAAAGAGAGAAATAAGTACCCAAAGTTGCCAGAATTCAAAATGGGTAATGGGTTTCATTAAGAATGTTTAATGCACACAGCAACATAAGGGTATACAAAATAAAATTTAGTCATTTTTTAATGTATAAATTTAACTGCTGCTTCTTTTGCTTAGAATTTGGAAAAATAACATGTTGATATTTTTGTTCTCATCCCCAAGAGGAAAGAATTACGTTATTTTTATTGTATGTTATTGTATACATACGTTATTGTATGCTTTAATTACAGTAGTATGAATGCATGTTGTGTTTGTTTTTTTAATGACACAGAATTGTGTTTAATAATTAGACATATTAGCTGCAAAATAAAGGGAGAGAACACTAAGGAGTATTAATATCCATCATCTAAAAATTACTAGGAACACACCTATAGTTTAAAATTTAACAAGAATGATCAAAGTATGGCAGTCAGCTTTTAATAACTGTGACTAAATATATGAGACACACAATTTAAAACAGGAAAGATTTAGGTTTGGTTCACAGAGTCAGAGGTTTTAGTCCACGGTCACCTGGGCCTGGAGAAAGGTAGAACATCTCTCTGAGAACTTGGGAAAGAAAGCTGATGGCCTCGGAGTGGTCAGGAAAGAGGGAGAGACAAAAGAAAGCAACCAAAGCAAAATGTACCTTTCAGAAATACTCCCAGGGGCCTATCTCCTCCAAGGAAAAGCACTGCTTCCTGAAGTTTCCTCCCCTCCCAGTGTTCTGGAGTCAGAACCGAACCAAGGTGCCAACCGACAAACACCAAAATGTACGGATCGCCAACTGAGATTTTAGAATGAGCCTTTGTTAGCTGGCCAGCGACTGCCTGAGAGCCTCCACGCAGGGTAGGATCAGGTCAGCAGCAAACCAGGTGTGAGAGCAGCTTTTAAGCCAGAAAACCACGTCCTGCTTGGCAAGTGAACTCTTTGTGAAGCAGTCTTCCGAGACACTATAGAAACTTTTAGAAAACCTTCAAGAAAGGAACGATACATTTCAGGGAGTTTCAGGGAGTGGCTAGAATGCGGAATGACGCAGGTGGAAAGAACAAGAGGGGGAGTAATCAGTCATGTTCTTTGTGAGGCCATGCATGTCCCTTGTGAAGCCTTTACACCCAGTAATGCCAGCAGCTCAGGACCAAGGCTTCAACACATTAGTCACTGAGGGATGTTTCATGTCAAACTATAGCACATAAGAGACGACCCTGAGCCACCACAAAGAGGGTGTCAGAAAAGGCCTACTACAGGCCTGGGTTACTGCTAGATTATTTGTGTTAATTTCAAAGACGCAAGTAAATGTTTTATCTGCATTGTGTCCTGTCAGAAATAAGATTTACCTAGAAGAAAAGCAACACAAATTGGGGCTAACATTGTTAAAAGAAGCATCATTCCTCTTTATTTATACTCTGGGTTTTTCATACGAGAGACAATATCTAATGTTTACACTCTGATTCATTTCAGTTAACATTGTGGTCTCAGGTGAGCCCATTGTCCTTCAAATGACTCAAGCTTCTTCTTCTTTATGGCAGAGTAGTACTGCATGATATGTAAATAGCAGATTTTCTTTACCTACTCATCTTTGATGGACAATAACAGATAACTTTGGTAATAGGAAGTAGGGAGATAGATCTTTCTCATAGTGGAAGTGGATCAAGTGCTGGAGGGAAGTGAAGGGGGAGGAGGGACAGGACATACAAAAGGAGTTGGAATGTGTTATAAACATGAGCCAACTCCACACAGGGAGTGCACACATTGAGTACTGCAAACAGGCACCAAATAAAAAGGAAGGGGGTCGAGAGATGAGTGGGTGGGAGGAGGGAAGGAAGGAAAAGGGGCTGAAAATAGGAATTAAGATATCATGTATATGTAACAATGCCCCACGAGGAATATAAACGTTATATGCTACAGAAATGTACTAATAAAAATTTTAGAAAGAAGCATCATTCTTTTGGCATAATCAAGAGAGAAGGATCTTTGGTCATTTCTGTATTTGCACACAGTTCTTGTTTTTGTTTGGGTGCAGACATAATTACAGAGTGGTCTTGCTTTTGTTCTGCTTAAACAAATTCAGAGAATGAAATTGTCTAAAATCCATTTCTGGAATTGTTGATGTTAAGAAGGAACCACTGCGGGATAATTGTCAGTGTCAGGCCAAATATCAGCTGACAGCTGTCAACTTTGTTCATTTTTCTCTCTCAGATTCTTGAACGGGCTAGAAGTAATGAGGGAGCTCCTATCACAACGAGAGAAATGTCATCAAGCCCTAGAGAAAAGAGAGATCTTAAGGGTTGTCCTCCATGATGAAAGGGGTGACAGCTCTATGGATCATCTGGATAACCATGGATCATAAATGCTAATGCAGGTAAGTTCCCGAAAGATCTTATTGAAAATAAAGCTAGAAATGCTGGATGTGCATAAGTGGTCAGAGAACAGCAAAAACCAACAGTAAAGGGTGCGAACAAACGACAAACCACTAATGATTTTAACTACTGTCTTTACTTCATTAACATATATTCACTTTTAAATCCCACAAAACTTGACTGAAACCCATATTTAAGTGATGATGAGAAAACCCTGTGAATTACTTTGTTAATCTCTGAGTTTCAGTGACTTAAAATCTGAGACTAACTGGCTTTCCAGGCATAAATTAGATACCAAAATTTAAAAATGTAATTTTTCCCCCGAGTTTTAAATTGTGCTTGAAAGCCAAAACAGATACTTATA